CCTGCACCCTAAACCCTATAAGCCCTAAACCGAAAGAAACGCTTGGGGCTCCCTGCTGCAGGCATAGGATCGGCATTGCAGGTTGGACGCCTCAAACGGTGGACTGTGGGATCTTCAGAAAGAGGCTTCCCAAACAGAAGCACGGGCCCTTTCACACACACACATACACATACATACATACATATATATATATATATATACATACATATCTACATACATACATGTATATATATATATATATATATATATATATGTGTGTGTGTGTGTGTATACGTGTGTGTGTGTGTATATATGTATGTATGCATGCATGCATGCATGTATGTATGCATGTACGTTTACGAGTGTCCGACATGCTGCGCACTTTCTATCATCGCTCTCAACAGAAGAGGCGCACGTTGGAAACGTGTGATGTACTCATACGCACCGCAAGGACCACTTTGCCTTGATAAAAGCAGAAGTTTACGAATGTGACCATATGCCCTAAACCCTAAACCGGTTTAGGGTTTAGAGTTTAGGGTATGTACACACTACAAATGCATTGTGGATGTATCTAATTTGCTCATGTGCATATTTGCTTGCTACTGCCAAAAAGTGCTTTTCAACATAAGGACACCTATAAAAAAAAAAAACACCCTGCCTACGGCACATCGAAACTTTGTCATCGTTGCTAACGTCTGTTTACCTGCAGTCTGGGAGGTGGTACGTGCTCGTCATTTTTTGTCAAATTGAATAAACCCTAAATCCTAAACCCTAAACCTTAAACCTTAAACCCTAAACCCTAAACCCTAAACCCTTGCTCGTCATTTTTTGTCAAATTGAACACCACCTCCATCCCAAAGCTCCATTCTACAACAGTCTAAATGATGAGGTTTAGGGTTTAGGGTTTAGGGGTTAGGGAAACCCCTCCCTAACCTTATCTTTTTATAAGAAACAGTCTAGAACACAGCGAACCACCATGAAGGAAGCCTGATTCCAAAGGGTATAGGGTCCAGGGTTTACCTGGGCCCTCAACAAAACAGCGCTGTTCTAAGGACTTATATAAGGAAATCATAGCTAACCCTAAACCCTAAACCCGAATTTAGGAACCCTAAACCCTCAACCCTAATTTAGGAACCCCAAACCCTAAACCCGAATTTAGGAACCCTAAACCCTCAACCCTAATTTAGGAACCCTAAACCCTAAACCCGAATTTAGGAACCCTAAACCCTAAACCCTAATTTAGGAACCCTAAACCCTAAACCCTAATTTAGGAACCGTAAACCCTAAACCCTAAATTAGGAACCTTAAACCCTAAACCCTGTTTTAGAAGAACCCTGATCCCTAAACCCTAATTAAGGAACCCTAAACCCTAAGTTAGAAGAACCCTAAAAAAACGGTAGGTTCTCCTTGGGGTGCAGGAAGGGTCTGAGCTCCAAACGCAGCGGGAGTCATCCCTGCAGGTTCCTCGCGGTTTAGGGTTTAGGGTTTAGGGCTTACGGCTGAGTCGGACACCCAATGAAAGGAAATCTCCCATGTGGGTTTAGGGTTTAGGTTTTAGGGTTTCAGGGTTTAGGGTTTTGGGGTTTAGGGTTTTAGGGTTTAGGGTTTCTAGGGTTTAGGGTCTTAGGGTTTAGGGTTTGGGGTTTCGGGGTCTTAGGTTTAGGGTATAGTGTTTAGTGTTTCGGGGTCTTAGGGTTTAGGGTTTGGGGTTTCGGGGTCTTAGGTTTAGGGTATAGTGCTTGGTGTTTCGGGGTCTTAGGGTTTAGGGTCTTAGGGTTTAGGGTTTAGTGTTTAGGGGTCTTACGGACGCCACAGGGACAAGGAATCTCCCATGTGTTTTCTAGGGTTAGTGTTTAGGGCTTCTAGGGTTTTGGGTTTAGGGCTTAGGGTTTCTAGGGTTTAGGGCTTCTAGGGTTTAGGGTTTCAGGGTTAAGGGTTTAGGGTTCAGGGTTCAGGGTTTAGGGATGGTTGCTGATTCTATCTGGGATGTTATAGGGATGTTGAAGGGTTAGGGAGCTCATAACTCGCTGTATGTGTATCCACATGGAGGTGCCGCTCCCAAGCTGATGTGTTCACAGTTCGTGGCCACTCAGTATTGGGTTGGTTGCAAGCACCCACATGTCGGTCTAAGCACTCTGCTTGCTGGGATTTGTAGGTCCCCTTTTCGTCGTCATCATGCCCCTCGATTCCAGCCATCCACTCCAGGAGGGCTTCTTGGGCAACATTCACGTACATAGCAAGGCTCTTCAAGCGATGACGAGGGAAGGCAACTAAAGACGACCTTCAGAGCAAAGAAAATGGCCCTGCATGTAACGAAAGACGTTAATCAAGCGCTAAGACAAGGAACAGTCATCGACAGCCGTTGCATGTGCCCATGGCCCACAAGTCAGGTGCAGAGACAGCCTGAGGTACCAGTTGCCCACAGGGCGACAGTACATAGCCCGATCACTTTCCAAGACTGGGAAGTTGTACCAGTCATGGTAGCGTCGGTGCCATTTTGTACTGCTGTAGCTGTCCATATCCATGGCCTGGCAAGCCATCACACCCGGCTCCTGGCACTCCTGGAGTGCGAGCCAGAACTGTTGATCTGTCAAGATGATCTTTAGGGGTTCAAGAGTAGTGGTTTCTGGGTTTTGTATAAGGGAGAGGGGCCTGACTAATTCAAACGGTGTGCTAGGGCGCTCCGGGGTTGTAGGAAA